GTGTGTGTGTGTGTGTGTGTGTGAGTGCGTGTGTGTGCGTGTGTGTGTGTGTGTGAGAGAGAGAGAGAGACAGTGCCCCGTGTGTAGTTGGTAGGGCCAGCAGGCCCCTCATGCAAAGTTGGCCGGCCTGCACTCCCGATTTCATTTCTGGCAGTGCTGCAGCAAAAGAAATAAGGGCCTGCAGGCCCACCTCTGAGACCGCGAAGGGCCCACCGGACCGATCAATTTTTTCGAGCAGTGTGCAAGAAAATTCTGGGAGGGCCTGTAGGCCTTCCCCAGGTGGCTGGTGGGCACCGTTTTCCAAACTTTTGTTGGCGATCTTGGCCGTGCACGAGCAGACGGTCCAGAGATCTGCAGCCAATCACTAAACTTTAACGTCGGCCATGGATCTAGGCCGTCCACCAACGAGGACAGGCCCAATTAGGCAGCCCAGATACAGCTGGTCTTAAAATTTCGTGACTGGCTGCAGATCTGGGCCATGAACCAACGCATGGCCCAGATCACTGGGAAAAGGCATTTATTATTTTTTCCTTTTTTCAAAAGGGCGACAGCCTTCATATATCATCATATTGAACCTGACCGCCCCCCAGAAGGTAATTCAGAATTATGTTATTCTGGGCATCTGTCTGATTGTATCTGGATTCGATCTTGGGTCAGTGACAGCAGTTTGGCAAGAGTGGCCAGTGATGCTAACGCTGCCGTAAAGAGGCTGAGGCAGTGAAACTACCTCGGGAAGCGCACTCATTTTGCCAAAGACATTAGCTCTGTGGTCAGTGACACTAGATTGGGAAGAGCGCTACTAGTCGTGTTGGCCAGTGATGCTAACGCTGCTGTAAAGAGGCTGGGGCAGTGACACTACCTCAGGAAACGCACTCATTCGGCCAGAGACATTAGCGCTGTGGTCAGTGACACTAGCTTGGGAAGAGCGCTAGCGTTGGCCAGTGACGCTTCCTGCCGTAAAGATGCCGAGGCAGTGTGGGGGATCTTTTGGAGGCTGCCAAATTGCACTACCGGCTTCACCCGAATAGAACCCCAGTCATTATCGCTGTATGTGGTGCAACTTTCAGTCTAGTGCAAGGAATATGAGCGAGTGCGATAGACAGAAAACCAAATTGTAGACCACGAATAGAACCCCAGTCATTATAGCTGTATGTGGTGCAACTTTCAGTCTAGTGCAAGGAATATGAGCGAGAGGGATAGACAGAATTCCAAATTGCAAAATCACGCTGTAGCCCAGATAGTCGTATACCAAGCAGAAAGCACAATGCACCGAGTTATCAGCCAAATAAGAGCAATACAATGAAGTTAATGTCGATGTTGACACTCTCTCGCCACACCAACATAGTATCCAATGTCGCTCCTCGTGATTGGCGCTCAGCGCCCAGTTTATCCTACTCCACACCTACTCTAGCCTACACTACGAATATGCAACAGGAGTCACTTCAAGCAGAAGACGAATGTACTCGACGCCGCCGCCAATGCAGACTACCAGCATACACCAGGTATGTGCCTCTCATCCTCTCCTCACCCCTCTCATCCCACAGCATTTGCCCTCTTTGCCCGAAGACCCACCATCACCAAACTAGCATGCGCCCAGCAGCCCGGTTATGGCCGCCGTGCGCCCGCTGCCACTGCAGCGCCCCTCTCACCTCCTAGCGCCCGAGCGTGCCCTGGCTTGCCAGCGCTCGAGCAGCCCTGCCAGCGCTCTAGTTCAGTAGCGTGGCCGCCCGCTGAAGACAAGCCAGAATGTACTCCGGCCTGGGCGATCACTTTCCTTTATGCAAATTGAGCCCTGCATCTGCCTGGGCTGGGCCTGGTAAGCGGGCGCTCGGTAGCTTCACGTTGGGCCAACGTGTCTGCGCCCAGGCCCATCCAGACAGTTGCCCAACCACCCATGCTCCCTGTGACGTGTTCCCTGCTTGCTCATCGGCCAAGAGGCCAGCTTCCACATCCACTCTCAGAAGAGCCTGGAAGGTTCTCCGAAATCCTGATGCTCGTGAGCAGGGCCTGTGTAACCCACTGGCACATGCGTGGTAACTGTCTGGCGCCCCACAATGCAGAAAAAATGGCAAAAATAGGGCTCCACATCGAAATACAGGCCCACCTTCACTTAGGGTGGGCACTCCGCTTGCTAGGGGCCCTTTCCGCATCTGGAGGCCGCAGCGGAGCGGCCAATGTGAGGGCTAAATCCTCGCACTAGATACAGTGATAATGACCGGGTGTTCTATTCGGGTGAACACAGTAGTTTGCGGGTGTACACGTATGCTTGGCAAGCCACGCTAGCGTTGAGCAGCAACCGATAGCCAAGGCAGGCAGCACCAGCCGTAGTTGGGCTGTGCGCCTGGGGAGTGCAGATGGTGCACGGAAGGGAAATCCCAGGAGGAGGACGAACGCCATCGGGAGAAGGGTTTCAGCGAGAGACGTACCTGGAGGTCATCAAGAAGAGCTTGTACCAGTTAACCATCCTCCTAATGAAAGATAGGCACATGGAAAATGATGGAAATCCGAGTTGCACAGGCTGACAGTCGACGTCCCTTGATTGGTCGGCACCTACCAGCTGGCAGTCGCCAGCACTCCGCAAATTAAAAAAAAAAAAAAAAAAAAGACAATAACCCCACCAACACCCCCATACACCCCCCCAACACCCTCATACCCCTCTCCCCCCATCTCCCCCATACCCCCTATACCACCCCTATACCCTTCCCTTCCATACCCCCCCTATACACCCCCCCATAACCCCCCCTACCTCCCCCCATCCCCAAAAGTTTCTCAGCGGATTTGTGCTGTACTCAGCACAGCCCCATAGTCAGATTGGCAAAAAAAGAAACGTGGATGGCTGTTTACTGACTGGCCCGCAGACTGCCAACAGGTCCAACCTACCAGTAGGCTGCAAAACGGTCGTCGGTCAGGGTCGGCCGTCAGCGGGTATGCACCCGTGATGGAAATTATAAAAGACCACACCACAACAAAAACAAAACAGTCTCTACGTCCCGGCATCCGTGAAAGCAGCACACGCTACATTAGAGGACAAGAGTAGGTCATCACATAATTCGGTGATGAGACCAGCGACAGTAGAGAACTATCCCTCTTCTTGTGTGGATTGTTGGGAGGCGAGAAGAGGGCTTTTCATCACCGAGATACAACAGCATTTGTCAATTCTTTTGCCCGTGCGGTCGTTGCCTTGTTGTTTCTGCTCTTTGCCTTGCACGCCCTTCACGAGATTTCATTGTGCTTACGATTTGAGTTTTGCCAATGTGGTTTCCTTGCACCCAAGTGTCTGATAAACCCACAGGGAAAACTCAACACATCCGCGTCGCCCACTTCATGGCCTTCGGATAGACATACCTGCTAACAACTCGAGATGGCTAGCACCGAAAGCTCGATACGTGACCAACTCGCCAAGCAACGAGGCAACCGTCTTCACATCATCATCTTCATCATTCTCCCTTTGACAAAAAAATAGCAAGAACACATATCCATTATGTGACCAAACTATAATCAGACTCCCCCTCCCCAAACAAAAGAAGAGACAACAGATGCAAATGGGCAAAAGAGGACGTGTCCCACCACACAATGATATGCACGGCGATAAGGCATACGAACAAAAGTAGTACATTTAATTTCAATTTCAAATTAATCGCTTCCTGATTGGAGTCATCGGACCGATTGGAGCGCAAGCCGATATACAATATGAAGCCTAGTGGCAGAAGAAAATTATCCAAATTTATGACCAACAACCCTACATGGCCCGATTCAGATATCAATCATACTGTAGCCTGTGTTACCAACCGGGCCACGCGGGTCACCTTGGTTGACCACCCGGGCAGCCCGTCCTGGCAAGGGCCAGGGCCAGGGAAGGTCCTCGTAAAAAAGAAAAAAAAAATCCGGTAAAAAACTATGTTGTGGCAGTTGTGCAGAAACAGAAACTGAACAAAATTTTGCCTCAAGGTTGCATCGAATTTTTTTGCCAGATTAAAAATAAACTTCAAAAAATACGCATTATTTATTATTTATTTTTATTTTTACTTTTATTTCTTTTAGTCATTTTTGCCCCTCCCGGGCAAGTGGTCCCGGGCCACTCTGGTGATGTAGATCGCAGCAGGAATTAACTTAAAATTGGGGACTCATGGTTATTTTAGATTTTCAATACCAAGGTTCCCAAAGCTACTCATCATTTCCCTCCTTGCTTTTGTCCTCTTAGGGTAAAGTCCCACTAGACGCGTCGAGTTTCCTCAACGCCTGAATCTGGACCTGTTTGCGGAGAGGCGTGATTGAGGAAACTCAATGCAGATTTCTGCACCACCCCAACGCCTGAATCAAGACGTGTTTGGAGAGCTGTGCGATTGAGGAAACTCGAGGCGATTTCTGCACCCCGGTCATGCAAAACACGACGTCTGTTGTCTGACCTGATCCCCGGACATGCTAAACAAGTTCAAACAACAAACGACATCAAAGGCCTGGGCTCATTTCCAATCCAGAGGGCTTCTTTCAGCCACAAGAATTCCGTGCTGGCATTCAGACTACGCTAATTTAGACTGAATTACTGTATTATATTATATTATATTATAATATATTATATTATTGAAATCAGTCTTGCAAATTCACACTCAAACATGCATGCAACAGATGAGAATAACTTGGCGCTGTGCACCCAACTCAAACTCGGAGATATGGTAGCTTGCAACTCAACTCAAATCCAAGTTYACTTCAGTWKRCTRTGRMRCTRGGHGCCCWCACTTACACGTTCGACTCAGAGTTCACACGCAACTCGACTCCGGATCACCCTGGATACCATGCACGCCAACCACTGCACACACACATACACACTCACTAACTGTCTATGGCTATGGCGCATGGCCACTAACAGCTAACTAGCCTATCACTAACTTCTGCCTACTTCGTCTTCAGGCCATCTGCAGACCTCCCTTGCACAAGACGCCCGAGCAGCGCTTCCGCAGAGCTTCGCAGGAATGAATGAATGGCTGGACGCAGCCTCTTGATTTATACTTCTGTGTTGCATTGGTCTGCCTTGTATCCCTGGCCCAYGATGCACACAGTCCCCCCCCGTGGTACTTGCTGGACCGGACTGGTACTTTCTAGACTTTCCCATGACTGCATAGTGACAACCCTACGACGCAGTGCAGTTGCACTGGGGTCCTACTATTTGCCCTTGCCACTTGTCCTCGTCTCCAACATGGGCTT